GCTAGCCAGAAGTTGCTATTTTCATGGCTTCTGCCTTTGTTCCACTTTGTACTGCATCTCATAGTTTAGCCACAACTACTCTACTTACAGTGTCCAAGTAGACACCGTCCATATCCAGCAAATGTGACTGACATCAGTCCAACTTGTATTTTCAGTTGCCATATAGAAATTGCTTTCAGAGATTGATTAGATTGAAAATTCAGAACGTAAAATATTGAACTGACACTTAGCTTTCATTTTAGCTATACAGTGTGTGAATCATGGATGCAGCAGGTATGTCTGTGAACGACTGAAGACAAAGTAGTTGGCCTGTGTTTTGGAAGTTCTAGAGATTCTATAGAAAAAAATTTAATATTCAAATTTCAAACTTTTCAAAATTTAAAGTTATCTATTTTATGTATTCATTTATGTGGAATAAAATGGTTTACTTCCTGAAAAATAATACTAGAAACTTAAAAGGACAAGGAAGGGGGATCACAGCTAGCCTACATTTCTTTCTTCTGTAGGGATTTGGTTTTGTTCATCTGTTTACAATCACTGATTAAGTGCCAAGAAAGAGAAACTCTCAGAAGTTGGATATTTGTATTTGGGAAATAACAAGCCACCACAGTAGACTAAAGGCACATGCTATACACACATGTGATAAAATATATTATGTTATGAACTTTTATTGTGAACACGAATCTCATGCAATATGGAGAGTGGCATTGAAACTCCAAAAATGGCCCACATGGAAAGCCTGTATTTGAAAAGAGAGCAGGAGAGATGAAGCAGTCACTTGAAAACAAAACTAATACCAAAACTTAAAAAAAAAAAAAAATCAGCGTAAGAAGAAATTAACACATACAATCAAATATTTTCAAGTAGAGCGTTAAAAACTCTATGTTTTTATACTAAACTATGGGCCCTTTGGCACCTCATTATATTGGAATTCATGTTAATTCAGTACTTAGCTGAACAGGCATTTATTCTTACAAGTTCTCCTTTTTTCCCCTGAAATTCCTAGTAACAGAACCACAATATTTTATTTTTGCATGTGTAGTATCCGATATTTTTTTTAAAAAAATGGGGAGCATTTTTGGATTGGAAGCTCTCATAAATAATGCCTCTGATCCCTTCTTCTCTCTGACACCCCACAGTGCTTGATATACTACTGAAGTACATCTAGTTTCAAGCCAAAAGGAGAAAGAGATTTTCCTCTTACTCTTCCCTGATGTCAGCAAGTCTAAGCAAACACACCAGCTGTCCAAAGAATAAATCAAAATGATGGGGAATATGTGAATATCACATATTCAATTAAGGAGGCTACCGATCCAATTTAGCACATATTTTCACGTTTTCAGAATAAGCACTGCTATTTCCTGACACTTGGGAAAATATAGTGTGGTCTGGCTTGAGATAATCCAGATGGATGTGTGTCTAGTTCTCCAACCTAGTTTATTTTAATTTGTTGCCCACTTTATTGCAAAAAAAAAAAAAAAAAAAAAATCAGAATTTGTTCTTCATCCATGATCTTTAGGAATAAGAGCCCATTTATTTTTAATACACAAGAAGAAAACAAAAGATTGATTTCTTTGGTCAATAAAAAAAAGCAATCATTGGTTAAAATGTGTAACAGTAAACCTTTATAAGGAAAATCAGTGTGGCAAATAGGGCACAGGTTTTTGTTTTTTTTAAAAAAATACTTATTGATTTGTCCATTATTTTGGTAGACAAAAACATATGAAATGGATATAGGATTTTATTCTCTATGTGCAGATCCTTGTATTTTACCTAGAATATGATATCCATGTCAAAATTAATTATTGAAAGGAATAAAGTTACAGATGTCTCCATGCAAAACTGACACAGGTTAAAGTTCCTGGCAGGTTGCCTTTGGAAGTTTCAGAGTTCTTGGAGCAAATAAACATTCAAAATATTGAGATGACCAGACTTGCGAAGAAATCCCATTGAATGACTCTCAATTATTTCTATTCTTTACTGTTTCTTTAAATAGGGAGAGAAACATCAGCCATTTGCAGGCTAAGTTTTCATATTGATGGCCACTGGGTGCCGCTGTTTTGCTGCAGAGAAGAACACTTGAAACATTATTTTTGTGGCATTAATATATGTATTTGGATGGCTATAGCATGAATCTCATAGCTGAATTATGTTATCATCTTTAAGAACACCTAGTAACAAAGACCAATTCATACTTTTCTGAAAGAAGTATATTACTTTTATATAGAATTATGCATTTGTAGGTGCAGAGATAACATTTTCAATTCAATGTTGACATGGATTGAATATCTGATATTATTCCAAAGCATGCTAAATTCAAAATAATCAGATTCCAATCTTCAATCCTGTTGTCAAAGTACTTGGCTGTAAACCCACTGGAATTTTATGAAGACAGTCATTTGACAAAAATGTAGACCACTTTTACTCAGTATGCATGTGTTTAATATACAACTCTCATTTTTCCTGCCCAGTTATATAAATTTAAATACAGGCAGTGTATATGACAGAATATCACTGGTAATTCTATGGTTAATGTTTGCTATATGTTGGTATGCATGCTGGGAAACATAATGTCAATCAGAACAGTGTAGCAATTCTAAAACAAAATCTAATGTGCATTGGATAAAAATAAATAACATGACTAAGCTGGCATTCTGTTCTATCATGATATCTTTCTCAGGAGATAAATAGAATCATTAAAGCTAGCAGTGATTCATAGCTTTATTTTATAAGAATTTGTCTTCCCATATCTTTAAAGACATCCAAATTAACTTCTTGTGGCAGGAAGGAATCTGGGAGGTCTTTTAGTCCAATCCTCTGGTCAAGAAGGAAACCCTATATGATTTCAAACAAATGGCTGTCCAGTCTCTTTTTAAAAGCCTTCAGCCCACAGTTTCTGGAGGTAAGCCATTCCACTGGTTTATTGTTTTCACTGTTAGGAAATTTCTCCTTAGTTTTGGGTTGCTTCTCTCCTTGATTAATTTCCACCCATTGCTTTTTGTCCTGCTTTCAGGTGCTTTGGAAAATTACCCTCTGTTCTTTGTGGCAGCCCCTCAGATATTGGAACACTGCTATCATGTCAAGAACACTGCTATCATGTCAATGATAAACTGCTATTCTCTTTCCTATTACAGAATAAGAAATAGCAAACCAAAAATTTAAAACACAAGAAGAAAAAAGAAATGTAACTTTATGCCAACATATTTAAGTTACATATTTTTCTGTCCTTACACACTGTCCTTGCTTTCACCACTTCCACGATCTGACTCATGCACTGACTTTTGCTCTTCAAATTTCTCACATCTTTTTTGAGGAGCTCATCACCTCTTTCCAATTATGACTTTCCCAGCCTTCTCCTTCCTCATATCCCCCATTCACTTTTCTTTCACTTTGATTGACCCTCATGAATTCTCTCTATATGACCCTCATCTCAATGTACTTCTTTCATTCTGATAATTCACTCTAGTATTCAGTCCATGTTCATTCAGCATCCAATCACCTCTGACTCTGTTTTTTCTTTTATGCATACACTCCAACACATCCAACTCCCAGTTCTATACAACAAAGTGTGAAGAAGCACATTTTTATATGCAGCCATTTTTATCAAGGCACAGAATTTTAATAACTTCACTATGAATGGAATGTATAATATGGACATTCCATTTGCACGTTCTATGAATGGAATGTACAGTATAGCTATCTATTCCATTCATTAACTCTGCTAAAATCTAGGTTGCTAATTTTCCATGCAAAAAAATATTTCTATTTCTATAGTTCTATTTTTCTACCCTGTGCTTACAGTAGAGGTAGTCCTCGACTTATGACCACAATTGATCCCAACATTTCTGTTGCTAAGTGAGACAGTTGTAAAGTGAATTTTGCCCCATTTTACGACCTGTCTTGCCACATTTGTTAAGTGAATCACTGCAGTTGTCAAGTTAGTTACATGGCTATTAAGTGAATCTGGTTTACCCATTGATTTAGCTTGTCAGAAGGTCGCAAAAGGTGATCACATGGCCCAGACACAGTGCAATTGTCATAAACATGAGTCAGTTGCCAGGCATCTGAATTTTGATCACATGACCATTGGGATGCCTTAACAGTGATAAATGTGAACAATGGTCAGTGGGGTCACTTTTTTTCAATGCATTGTAACTTCAAATGATCATTAAATGGATTGTTGTAAATCGAGGACTACCTACAGTATACTGTATTTCTCCCCTCCCCTTTGGGGTACTAGTTTTGAGATGATTTTCTTGCTACAATATAGCAAATGGAATTGGTATGAAGTTTTGATCTGGTTTTTTATTTTCCCTAGTTAGTCTCTCAGCATCACTCTGCAATTCCCTGGGCTTGCTTGCTAACCTGAAAAAAAAAAAAAAAGCCCATAAGAGGAGTAATAGTGTCTTCTCTTTCACTGAATAGAATGAGAGGCTTTGGATCAATGGAGAGTTTCAGTAAAAAAAAAAAAAAGAGGAGTCCATAATATTCTTCCATTTTACTATTTTACAACTGACATACATATTAAGAAAAAAAATATCTCCAAAATGTTTTGCTGTTCACTTATTTTTAAAGTGGTTTCCTTTCTCTCAAATGAATAGTGAGTGAGTGAAAGAAAATGCAAAAGTCCATTTCAGCATAGAGCACTAATCCTGAATCACTGAAAATGCAACTTTAATGAATTGTTCAGATTGTCATGTTAGGAAGAAAGGAGAATGATTCTCTTAATGTTTTTTTTTTTTCATATCATGCATCAGTTTGTACTTCTTTGTCATATTCCCCTTTCTTGATTTTCTTTTTAGTATCAGAAAGCTTCAAAGGTTGTATAATTTTTTGTGATAAGTTCTTGATTTATTTTTCCTCAAAGGGGGGGGGAGGAGTGGTGCAGTGACTAGAACTCTGCCCCATAATTCCAGAATCACTTCATAGATGTAGTAAACATTATATGACATTGGTATGATTTTGATTTATTCATTAATAGTTTTGAATAGGAGTCTCACCTTGCATTCTGTAGAAACCGGAGAAATGCTTCAGAACTGGTGACCAAAAAGGATCTACAAGGAAACATGAACAGGGGACTTTTAAGAGAAAAAGGGTGAGTTTCTGGAACAAATGAAAGGAAACTGTTTAGCAAATTGGGCTGTTTTCTTTGTTGCCTCTGACTGAATGCATTGCTTTTTTTCCCCATGAAGAAAAGGCTTCCACCTGCAGCTGCAAGTGATCAGCTAGTAGGTGGAATCAAATTCCTCAGTCAACAGCTTACTTTAAGCCAATACACTTTATACAGAAGAAAGACAATTGAGAGATTGTGACTAGAATCAGTAACATTCCAGGCAAGCAGGAACAGGGGAGTTTTGCAAGAGAGTTTAGTGATGAGGGAGCCAACTAAGGAGTTTGGTTATTGTATGAAGAATGCAGATTCCGTAGGGACTGTCTGTTAGGTCAACCGGTTTCTAAAGAAGAAAAATAACAAAATTATTAATAATAACTATTATCAGGGTAGAGAGCCAGCAGGGAAAATGATGTTTTCCAGCTTATTGCACAAAGTACCAAATGTACAACTTTCTGCCTGTTGGGCATAAATTGAGGGTTGCACTTGGTGCAATGAGTTTCTGACTTTCAGGGAACAAAGTGGTTAAGCTGCAGCTGCTCAGAAAGGTTCAGAGGTTTATAGAGAGGACCTTCAAGGATGGTATAACTTTGTCCCATTGCCACAATAATAGCATCCTTGCTGTCAAAGAGATTGAGGGTCTTCAGGAAACTGGACTTCACTTTGAGAATAAAGAAGATGTTGCTCTAAGAATGACCTAATCATAAAACCATAGCGTTGGAAGAGATTACACAGGTTATTTAGGCTAATCTGGTTCTCAGTGTAGGGTCTACTAAAGCATCTGAGACTGATAATCAGCAAGTGAGAACTCACTACATCATGTGACAGCTTGTTGCGTTAGCTGACAATTAATACACTCAGAAAATTTCTCCTGATACCTTCATAGTTACAATCCATGGTTTCTGTAGTTTTAAACCTACAGGTTTTAGTCCTGGCAATAAAGAATGTATCTACTCCCTCAATGCTGTGACTATTCTTCAGATTTTGAAGTTTTCTATTAAGCCTCGATTTAATTATACTTTTTGAGAGTAAACATAAGCAGATTCCTTAACTGTTCCTAATATGGTTTTGTTTCCAGACCTTTTACTTATGTTAGTAGTCTGCCTTTGAACTGACTCTAGTTTTGAACAATGGTGCACAGAACTTGACATTGTATATCAAATGAGATCTAACCAGGGTGGAATACTGTAATGCAGAATCAATATTCCCAGTGATCTTGACTCTATGTTCTTGTTGAAGCATCCCAAGATTATATTTGACTTTTTAGCAGCTCTATCATATTACAGCTATTCCTCAACTTACAACAGTTCATTTAGTGTTTGTTCAAAATTACAATGACACCTAAAAGGGTGACTTATGACCATTTTTCACGCATACAACTGTTGCAGCATCCCCATGGTAAAAAATCAGACATTTGGTACCTGGTTCATATTTCTGATGGTTTCAATGTCCCAGACTCATGCGATCTCCTTTTGTGCCCTTCTGACAAGCAAAGTCAATGGGGAAGCCAGTTTCACTTAACAACCATTCTTAATTTAACAACTGCAGTGTTCCACTTAACAACTCTGGCAAGAAAGGTTGTAAAATGGGGCAAAACTCACTTAACAGCTCTCTCATTTAGCAACAGAAATTTTGGGCTCAGTTATGGTCATAAGTTGAGGACTACCTTGTGGTTCACAAAACAATCAGATCATTTTCAATATATTACTGACAGCCTTTTTCATCTTTGTGTCTTACATTTTTCCTATCCAGATGCAAAACATTATCATTTTCTCTGTTAAATTTCATCCTATTATTTTCTACTCACTGCTTAAACCTGTCTATTTTTTCAATCTTTTTTCTTCCCAGCTTCAGGTTATCTTCTGACTTTTTAACTCTCTGGCCTATGTTGTTAATAAAAATGTTGAATGGTGCATGGTCCGGAAGAGGTTCTTTCCAAACTGAAGTAAAACAATTAATGAGTACTCTTTGAGTGTGGGTGGACATGTAATTTAATGTGAGACCATCTAACAGAGGCAGCATGTAGCCTATATTTTGTCATTTTTATGGCACAGAATATCAGAAAGTATTCTTTGGAAGGCTTAAAGGTCCAATTACACAATCTGTGATCTGATATTTGATTGCCTTACTGTATATTTTGAAGCTCTATCAAAGAAGGAAAAAGTTATATGACATTTTGTTTGTGAAGAATTAACTCTGCCCCCCGTTACTTATAGCATGCTTTTCCAAATACTCACACATATACTGTCTAATAATCCATTCAAAGACCTTGCCCAGTATAGACATCAAGCTGACAGGTTACAGTTTTTCAATTGTTGTTGTTGTTGTTTCTTCTTCTTCTTCTTCTTCTTCTTCTTCTTCTTCTTCTTCTTCTTCTTCTTCTTCTTCTTCTTCTTCTTCTTCTTCTTCTTCTTCTTTCTTCTTCTTCCCCTTCTTCTTCCTCTTCTTTCTTCTTTCTTCTTCCTCCTCCTCCTCTTCCTTCTCCTTCTCCTTCCCCTGTGGCTGACTATTAAGTTGTTGGCTGTTGTTTCCTTGTGCTGCCAAGCCCTCAGCTCCTAAGTACTTGATACTTGATTCTTCTTCTTCTTCTTCTTCTTCTTCTTCTTCTTCTTCTTCTTCTTCTTCTTCTTCTTCTTCTTCTTCTTCTTCTTCTTCTTCTCTTCTGATTTTTGAAGATGGGGGATGACATTTTCTTTCAATCGTTTGACACCTCACTAAAAAAAGAGAGTCTGTAATCACATTCAATAGTTCCTTTGATACCTTGGGAGATAATTCATATTAGCCTGAGGCCTTCACTTCCTTTTCTAAGGAAAGGACACAAGCAGCATTTTGTTGATGTCAATGAAAGCAAAATCCTCTACAGTGATGGGCTTCAGCCTAATGCAGCAGAGCTGTTCATGTGCTTTTTCATAGCAAACAGTAACTGACCTTATTCAATATAGTCTAAGGTCCCTTTTGCTAGAACCCATCAGATATGTTTAAAACTAAAATCAGTTGTCCCAACATTACTTGACCATGTAGGGAGCTATTTGTACTATTTTAAATACTATTTCAATCTGAAATATTATTTTCCACTATTCCTTTCTGTGAAACCCCCTAAATTAGTTGTCACAAACTTAGCTCTGGGTGCTGTGTAGCTTGCCTAGTTTTGGGTCTCTCCACAGTTGTTTCACTGGGGTTCCCAACAGCTTAATGGAGATTTGTCACCATTTTGCTCAGTATGTTATCCTTTTGTGTTTTTGCTTAAATATGTCTGTTTAAGCTAATAATAAAGTCTAAAATCCTTTACTTACTGGTATGTACAATGTCTCTGAATCTCAAAGAACCAATTCTCTGGCTCCTGGACATTGCCTGACATTTGACAGTATATGATGTCTATCATCTTTATCATCTCTCTCTGCATCTATCTCCTTGAAAATATCCATCCATCCACCCATCATCTATCCATCCATCCATCCATCCATCCATCCATCCATATATATCCAGGTTTTGAGCTGGGAAATATGGAGTATGAAGAATATCTGTTATACAATCCATCCAATACAAAAAGTACAAATTAGTGCTTGCCAGAGTAGATATAAATCAAATAATTAAACTACATCAAATATATAACATTAGGTTAGTCTCTAATAGTGCTGCTCCTAAGAAAAGATGAAATAAGTTACAGGACTAGAATAAGGCTTTTCTCTTAGTGTGACAGCAAAACTCCCATCTTGTATGTAGCATCTTGAAGTTATTTTTTTTTTCCCATCAGAGCTGTAGACTGCCCCACAAACTTTTTGCCAAGCTAAGTGGAAAAGAAAGAGAAGTGGGAAAGAACTTATTTTTCAGAAGGACTATTTAAACAGCTGTGCCCCTTTGTCTAATATGGCAACCTGCAGAACTTGGTAATGTGGAATCCAGTGCTCATAATGTAATATGAGTGTTCCAGAATAGTTTCATTACAAAGCTTTAGTGCAAATCATCATTATGCCTTCATTCTTACACAAATATTTAGAACACAATAGAACTTGTGGAAATTGGTGCTTAAAATGGAATTTTGGCAATTTCACAAGAATTCTGGAATAGATAAAATTTTTGAAGAGCCTTTGTTACTATACTCTTATATTCTGTTTCTGCATAGTTGATTACTGTGTTGTTTAAGATAGCGACCTGGAGATTCTTCTTTCTTTGGCACCCATTGCTTAGGTATGAAAAGACTATTTGATTTCAATCTTCACATCTCTCTGGAAATTCAGTAGTGAAGAGGCATTAAAAGTTAAATGGAGTCTTGAACTCCTCAGTTTACAGCAAGCTGCTGGAGTCCACTAGCAGGAATGATTACAGACACATCTTGGCTTTTATGTTTACTGTGTATTAGGGAGCACAAAAGGAGTATCTTGCTTAGTGCTGCCTATCTTTTTTCACATGAATTGACCATCTCTGTTCCAACAAAATAAAATGGTTGGATTTCAAATAACTGATGAACTACCATGAGAAAATTTCAAAGATGGATGTGACACAGGGCAATTCTAGCTGACCTAGCTACAGGGAAACCTGGAAAGCACTTTAGTCATGAAAACTGTTCCTTTCCTTTCTTTTCTAAGAGAAAAAGAAAGAAAGAAAGAAAGAAAGAAAGAAAGAAAGAAAGAAAGAAAGAAAGAAAGAAAGAGAAAGAAAGAACATTTTTGAGATACTATGAATTCCATTTTTCCTTCTTTATTAAGAGGTTCTTTATCTGATATACATACATACATACATGCATGCATACATACATACATACATACATACGTGTAAAATTAGAATTAAAAAACCCAATAAATTTGGATGGGGCAAGAGAATTGAAAAGAAAATAAGCTTCTAAGCATCATTCTATAAACAATCTCAGATCTCTGCAGAGTTATACAAATTGCAGCTCTATTTTAATACACATAATTACAAAGATAAAAAAATGAGGCATAAGATAAAGGATAAATAACTGTGGGAAGAGGTTTTTAGCATGTTACTTTTGGCAGAAGAGTGCTACATGATATATCAGGCCAGTGACTCTCAATCAAAATCAGAATGTTCAGAAAAGCTCTAATATGCCATTGAATGTATACAAAATATTTCGCCATATAATTAGACGTTGCTCTTGAGATTCCTTTTCTAGGGAAAAAATTGCCTGTAAAAGAAATCAAGTGGCAATTAGGATGCCTGTGAATCCAAGCTATATACATGTTATTTAGAGCCCATTGGGCAGGAAATTAATCATACATCATGCACATCATCAATTTTACTATGTATGAGACTGGGGCTTTCTTCAATATCTTTTCAAAACCACAAATGATTAACAAATAATATGCATAACTCTCCATACATTTTTAGCAAGCAGAACTATTAAATAGCTCAGTTAAAGCAAGATGGAACAGGAGCAATGAATGGCAATATTACATAGTATTGCACTAGCTGGATATCAAATTTGAAAGAATTAACTGAATGAATTCTGCATCTGTGTTACATGGTATGCCATGAATATAAGCTAGGCATGAAGGATCCAAAATAAAGTTCTACATTTCATTTACTGATGATTCAGGTTTCTGTTTTGCTGAAATATGTATTTTTTTTCTTGAGCTGCAAATATATTTCCACCTAGTAAAGCATAAGCTTTTCATTCAAAAATAATTAGTTTGGTGGCTGTCTTTCTCTCAGTGTGTCTCTCTCTGTATGTCTCTCCGTGGGTGGGTGTAAAAGATGGTGCTGGTAATGTTAAAAACAGCAAAGAAAATAGATCCAAAGAGATGCTTAATATTCCTAATGGATATAGATTGTTATCAAGCTGCATGTATGTTGTGCTTTGTTTACAAGCTACTCTAAGATAATAACAGTTTGGATGAATTCAATTAAACAAGAGTATTAAAATATCTTTCTCAAGCCAAATTCTGCTAGAAAAAGCAGCTTCTCCTATAAGTGGATGTGCAAATAGGAAAACCCCAGTGCAATCTACCTTGCCTGAGGCTGTTGTTCAGAGTGCCTCCAAGTGCTAGGGAGAATAATGGGTTGTCAGAGGTCAGTTGATGTTGAAATGCATTATGTATACTCATGCCTCCAGCACAATCATGAGAAATCTCTTATGGTTACAGAAATATTCCATGGGAATTCAGATGGCATGCTTAATTTCCAAAATGAAAGGTCTAGAATTCAAGGTTGCCATGCAGTCAAACCATCTGACCTGGAAACCATTATTCCTAATATCAGAGATACACGGATTCAGTGGAATGGTATGCTGGAGGAAAATACACATTCAAAGTTCATGTCTATTTATATAGAGAGATACTCTATTTTTCACTGAGTCGAAGGAATGTTTAATTTAAAAAATGAACACAGACAGCATTTTCATCTTTTTCTCAAAAGTATCATTGTTCCAATCCTGCTGTAGTCCTTTTTTTTTTTTTAAGTAGAAGATTGATTTCCAATCATCTCCTACGAGAAACATCCTGGATTTCTCCATTAGTTTCTTCTGTGAAAAATAGTTGTAGAGAAGGGGGAAAAGAACATACAAAGGGAGTCAAAGATGTTTAAATCTGTTCATCAGATCTGCAGCTGAAGGAACTTGAAATGTAAAATTTATCTGAAAATGTACATATGAAAACTACAAATAAGTCCATCAGAGGAAAAAGAAAAAAAGAAAATTTGGATTTTTGGATTTGAAAATATTCTTTTTATTTAGAGGAAAACAAAGATGTTATTAACTGCTTGAACCACTCAGTAGCGTAAAAATAAACATTCAGGGGATAAGATGGAAATAAGTGGGAAAGATGAGATAATTTCAGAGTTTGCGGGTAGTATATAGCATAAAATGGGGAAAATGCTATAAATCACTTTACCTTTCTGGTTTGCAAACTGAAGACCTGAGTGGGAGCAATTTTCTTAAGCAGTAGGAATATGAATCCATATTTTATTGGCCTAGATCAAACAACAAATCCTAGGTTAACATACAGGGCATCTGCATACTGTTTGTCACCCCCTCTATCTCTTTCCTTTGCATAAATATGTGAACAGCCATAGTTACATGTATATTTACTACCTGGGAAGCAGAAGCTAATACACAAAGTACATTTTGATGCTTTAAGCAGAATTTGCTGAAGATAAGCATCCTTGAAAATTATCTAAAATATAAAGAGAAAACAAACATACTAGGCACCATTAACATCCTAGCCCCAGTGGTTGAGGAGAGCCAAGTCTTCAAGGCCTTCTGAAAGGATAGTATGATTGGGGCCATCTGAATCACTTGGAGAAGAAAGCTCTGTATGGCAGAGACCTCAATAGATAACCTATAAGTAAAACTAGAGATGTAAGTTCAGCAAGACAAGCTTTTATTTTGATCTTAAGTTATCTAAAGTTTAAAGTTTAGATTCTATTTTTTTCAGGAAGTCCTACATGGTATAACATGTAATAGATGCTGCAGATGTGAAGGTTTTATGGGTTTTATATTGTGGATTTTTAATACTGTAAACTGCCTGAAGTCACTGTGTGTGGGCTGTGTGGCCGTATAAATTTGTGAATGAATGAATGAATGAATGAATGAATGAATGAATGAATGATGAACGTAGTCTTCTGCAGGGCATTTGAAAGGGAAATATTTAATAAGATCACAATAAATTCTATTTCAGTGCTAAATTGTTTTTATGGAAGTTTTCATATATTAAAGACCACACAGAGTCACATCAGTAAGCAGTTTACAAATATTAGTAATAAATAAAAACAAATGAAGTTGGTTTCCAGATTTGACTTACTTGGGAACCACTAATTACAATTTCAGCACTGCATGCACCATAAAGCTTGGTTAATTACTGTTATTGCACCAGTTTCACAGAATGGGGGATGAATTAGCCTAAGAGGATTCTTACTGGGATAAAACTGGATTAGGCAATAGTCTGTACAACTCAAGATCCTATATGAAAGGAAATATCAATTAGCAAATAACAAATTTATAAGCACATACATACAGATTTATTACAAAAGAATATTATTGATCCTGCAAGTAGGAGGCCTCCATGATAAATTAATAGGATTGTCTCTACTGAAAAAAGTGCCTGATCTTAGATATAATGAATGTTCTAGTCAAATTTATTCAGGCTAGCCTGAATAAACAATTAAGTAAAAAAATTACATACCTTTAGAACTAGCATAAAAGATATATCATGGATCCTGTCCACTAGGGAATTTTAATTGATGGTACCCCAGAAGGAGAATCTTCTCTGTCATGACATTTGCCTTTTGGAACATCATTCCTGAGGTTAGTTTGGCTCTTAACCTATAAGCCTTTCAGAAGACCCTGAAGACATAGCTTTACGATCCCTATTAAGGTAAGGATTCTGTGACATGGCAATATTTGTAAACTGTTGGTTGTCAGTCTCTCACATTTTATGCTTTCTTGTTGTTATTTGTTTTAACTTGTTTTTAATTTTTTTGTTCTTATTGTTTTTAATTATTTATTTTTATGGATTTGTAATTAGCTGCATGGTGGCCTAGTGGTAAAAATACTCACCTCCCACTCAGAAGGTTGAGAGTTCAATTCTAGGTAGTGGCAGATGTTTCTTTCCTAGAGCGCAAAGAAAAATCTATCTGCTGTGAACTCTGCAATGCATCAGGAAGGGCGTCCAACCAGTAAATGCTCAGCTCCATCCAGTCGCCCCGACTCTACCCTGAATTAAGGGATTATAGGGTCGTAAAAAGGGAGGTTTATTTTGATGCATTTTATTTTGCATAATTTTAACTTTATGAGCCACCCAGCATCACATATGTGAGGTGGCAGCTCTATAAATTGAATAAATAAATAAATATAATAAAACTAATAATAAAACTACCTAATTAGTTTATGGAGATTCTCTGTCATCCAGGTCATGATTGTCCCAAAGATGCTTTTTCAAAAGACGTGGACTTTCTTATTTTTCTTTGAAGGCTTTTCGCTTCTCATCCAAAAAGCTGAAAAAGCTTCTTGTATGAGAATCGAAACATCTTCAAAGAAAAATAAGAAAGTCCACTTCTCTCTTGAAAAAGCACCTACGGGACTACCTAATTAGTTCTTTTAAAGTAAAAGAAACAAAAAACAAACAAACAAAACAAGTAAGAGTGAGAAAATAAAATTCAGAATAGTTTTGTAAGAACAAGATGTCCAATAAAAACATTGGATGCAAATTCTATATTCTATTTTTTTTCTTTGATATACAGTAAATTTTCAGCACAAATTATTTGAAAAATATGAAATAATTGAAAAATAATTTGAAAGCCGTGCATAGTCATTGGGCATAATTAAGAAGAACAGACTTTTAATTAGTTTTGCTTCATGCTCAGAAGAAGTTAATTGGAGCATTTGTGCCACATCTTCCTTGAAATAAAAGTTCATGTAACATTAACCAATATCTGTGGGAGACATAGAATTCTTAGCAAATAAACTGGAGCAATACTATGACATCATACATGCTACTAGATATCCTGTCCAGTTCTAATTGAACTGGAACTTATAATAAACAAAAATAAATGTGGTTAGGTAAATTAATGTTTACTGACACTTGAACAGGTTGTCTTGATGGAGTCTTTCTCCTGTATCAGTTTCTATAATTCTGCATAAGGAAAATTAAGTACTTAATATATCTATATGCAATACTGAGACGTATGTAACCAGTATGGGGAAAATCAGTTATGTTCATATATTTATTTAAATTTAAATAACACTTTTAATTTACCATTCTCTCTCTCTCTCTCTCTCTCTCTCTCTCTCTCTCTCACACACACACACACACACACACACACACACACACACATTCAATTTTATCATACATCTGTCCACTTAATATCTAGTTAAGATTTTTTTTTCAAAACTCACACTAAGGCTGATTTAAGATTATCATCTAACTCCAGTGCACTTGCCAACTGATATAGATTTACAAATTCTGGGAAATATAAAATGAGTGTAATGAATGTTTTATATTCTGCTTAATCAAAATATACATATGAGCAATAAAACCTATAAATCACAGCCACAGAAGAAAGAACATTATATTATGAATTTGTCAAACTCCACACTAAAATGAATATATCAGCTATTAAAATAAATGTACACCCCAACAGGAAAATAAATCAATGTCAATGCAAATTGTTCATTTACCAAGCTAGAAACATCATTTATTGAATCACAAATTATTGAATATTGAATAAAGTGCATCATCTATCAAAAACAGATCTCCTATTATAAAATCAGCACTATATAAGATTGAAAGTTACATCTTTCTAAATTAATGGTTTCTTCGCAAGTACAGCAGTAGATGTTTGAATCCCATTGAATAAAATATTGGAAGTAAATGTATGTAAGACTACAATCCTAACTATTATTACAAGGTTACTATTGATTAAAAAAGCACATTGATTTGAAGAAGTAGGAATAAATGTTCTGCTATATGCATTATATTTGAAATCTTATTCTGATTCCTGAGACAGGAAGAAATGATATTTTTTTGCCCTGATCTGCCTTGATTCTCCACTCATTGCTTTGTCTGCACACTCTAAGTTTTGAAAAGAAAAATGGATTCATTTCTGCTGTAGAATAACCAAATCCAGAGCAATAGAAAGTGTCATAATAATAGAAGTGCACAACTATTTCTCAGGGTTTCAAGGCTGCACTCCCACAGTAGCTGAAATATAAGAACTATAGGATTAATTGATTTAATCCTTCCATCAGTTGGAGGGAGACTTCTGAATTTGCAAAGAGAAATTCAATCTTCAAATTCTCCAGGTTTTCTACTGATCCTACCTTTTATAAACAGAAACTTCTTCCTGTTGAAAAAACAAAACAAAACAGAGGGGTTGAGGCAAGATATGGAACATATGATCCATACTAAACTAAGAAGTCAAGAACATTGAAGAAGAGATAGCAATGGCCGACCATTTCTATACTTTAAAAATAACCCTGAAGTATTTTTTTTTTTTTTGGTGGGGGATTGAGGCCACAACGGCCCAAGTTAATCTGAAAAGAAATTTTATTTTCATCTAATTCTTATTAGCTCCATACAACAGTAAGATGTAGAAATATTGTTGAATTTGAATAGATATTTGGCTACAAAGCCATGAAAAAACTATTTGGTGTAATAGAATCATGTCTAGAACTAGAGCAGTGTTTCTCAACCTTGACGATTTTAAGGCATGTGGACTTCAACTCCCAGAATTCCACAGCCAGCATTGCTGGCTGTGGAATTCTAGGAATTGAAGTCCATATGTCTTAAAATTGTCAAGGTTGAGAAACACTGAACTAGAGCATACACTTCAGTTTTTGACAAAAATTTCTTAGAAGGAATTCCCCCCCCCTAAACATTTAAAATATCTATGAACAAAAATGAAAAACCACCATAGCTCATGAAATCTGGGTGTATTTGAATGATATCTTTGGTTCACCTTTCAAAACTTCATGAGCTGTTAGTACCGTATATTGCGGCGTATAGGGCAACCCGGCGTATAAGATGACCCCGAGTTCGATGCCGAGTCGCAAGATGATCGACGCCGAGTCGCATGCCTAGAAAGTCATCTTATACGCCGGAAACTACCGGTATTTCCAGTGTATAAGATGATCGACGCCGAGTCGCATGCCTAGAAAGTTGTCTTATACTCCAGAAACTACGTTATTTCTGGTGTATAAGACAATCGACACCGAGTCACCTGCCTAGAAAGTCATCTTATATGCCAGAAACTACCTTATTTCTGGCGTATAAGACGACTCGGTGTATAAGATGACCCCCGAGTTCAGCGCCTGTTTCAACGCTCTCAAAAGTCATCTTATACACCAGAATATACGGTAATTGAAAAAGTGGGAACCAAGGTATGAGATTCTGAAGCCATGCCAAGGGCTGAAAAGCTCTCCAGATGAAGATTTCCTATACTGTAGTAAAGAGTACAAATTTACATTTGTCAGCTCTCTATGCTGTGATGTGATGTGATGTTATTACTAATGCAGTGCAATCTTCGCTATCAAGCTGATATTTTTTTATTCATCTCTTTAGCTACCCTTTACCATGTGCCTATTTCAGTGGTGGCAAACCTATGGCACGGGTGCCAGAGGCGGTACTCAGAGCCCTCTCTGTGGGCAGGCGCACCGTCACCTCAGTCCTAGGCCTTCAGCTGGGTTTTATAAAACCTTTTCGCTTTAGGCCTCCGCCACTGTGTGAAAAAAAAAAACAAGGTTCAATCAATCAGTCAATTTTAACCTCTCACGGGAAAAAAATCTTGCAAAATTGGAATTGATTGATTGAACTTTTTAATCCCATCCAGTCTGCCATTACTACCGCAGCCATGCCCACCCAATGGGCCACGCCCACCCAATGGGCCACGCCCACCCAATGGGCCATGCCCACCCAATGGGCCATGCCCACCCAGCACCCGACAATGCATAAGTGGGTTTTAGGTTACAGTTTGGGCACTCGGTCTCTAAAAGATTCGCCATCACTGGTCTATATATATGTATTTCAGTGTTGAGAATGGCCCATGAGCATACGGGAAAGCACTTTCCCATTTAAGATTTGGAAATAACTTATGGATAGTTTATAACTTAGTCAATAGGCCCATCCCTTCTTCATTGCAAGCTGTTAAAATCACAGCACATGTTTATTACTGACTTACAGTTTCTCATTATTGCTCTGCATTTGTCAATATGAGCATTGATTGTAATTGCAATTTTGGCTAGCTCAAATTGATTGGAACATAAAGTAGCAAGAATTGTACAATTATGTCAAAAGAAGGAGAAAATTAAATAGCAAAAGCAGATGTGCTGATTCAGGCAAAGAATTCCCAATGGGCTATATAAAGAAGTACTCTACCTTTGTTTTAGAAAAGCGCAGACATTTAGAAAAAAGCATCATGATTGAAGAAAAAGAATAGAAATATGGATCCTATACATATATTCCAGTATTGTTTGCAAAATTTTACTAAAAGATAACAGATTCAGGATATCAAAGTGCATTACAGCAATATTTTTTGTGCAAATTCCTTACAGTATTTAGAATGTTTTCTTTGTCTGTCTATTCATCTATTTGTTTCTTTATTTTAAAGAAAATTATTGTAAGTTTGTATGTGTTAATCTTGTGCCGTTGGTAGAACATACCGATGACAGTTTGTTCTACTGCCATCAGTATAGGTTGCCAAATACATTTGGTTGTCTTAATCTTAACTTGCATTAATCTAATTGATTATTTCCATAACTCAAAACATTTTAATGTTTCATTTTTTTTCTTTTTATTTTAACTATTTGCATGCTGATTTTCCATCACAAATGTGATCCTCTTAGCTGAAACATGATAGACCCAGAAATGTCAACATAAAAAGTTAGAAACAGTTTAGAAAATGCAATTTTCATTATCATCATTTTAACCATTGTCTATCTGCTACAGAATGAAAGCCTCTTCTGCATGTTTTCAACCTATATGGCCCTGAGCTTTCTTTTGCCAATTGGGCCTGCACTGCTTGCTGATGCCGTTGATCCATTTTGTTTGAGATCTCTTTCGTGGATGATTTTTATCGAGTGGGATCCATTCTATGACTGCCTTGGTCCACCTGCCATCAGTTCTTCTCATTATGTGACTGGCCACTTTCCATTTAAATTCTTTTACACTCTTGATGATATTGTATATTTTTGTTTTTTCCCTAACACATGTGCGGGTCTTTCCATCTTGTCATGTAATGCCAAGCATCTATCTTTCAATGGCTATTTGCCTCACTCGTAGCTTCTGTATCAATTTTATCACTATATGTTAGAGCAAGTAGCACACACTGATCTAAAACTTTTCTCTTCAGGCATAGGGGGAGGTTGTTCTTGAAAATTATGCTCAACTTACCGAAAGCCGGCCAACCACATTTAACATGATGTTCAATTTCCTTTATTGTATCACCTTCAACTGAGATGCATTAGCTAAGGCAGTGGTGGCGAACCTGTGGCACAGGTGCCAGAGGCGGCACTCAGAGCCCTCTCTTTGGGCAGACGTGCCATTGCCCCAGCCTTGCCTTTCCCCCATGACCCCCTCCTCACCAGCAGCCCCCCTGGAGGACAGTCGGCCCCGAGTGCGGAACAGCACAGTCAAGGTCATGGCAGCCAGGCAGCGTAGACAAGACTCTGCCCTCACACACCATCATGCCTGGGCGATCTGCGGCGGCCTCTGGAGGCAGTGAGTGGCCCTGAGGGTAGGCAGGGTGGGGGCAGGGCAAGGGGTGGAGTGGGGGCAGGGCCAGTTTTTGGGCACTCAGTCTCTAAAAGGTTCGCCATCACTGAGCTAAGGTGTCTATGTCTAGTTCTTCTCCAGATATATATATATATATATAAAATATTTCTTTGGTGAATTTATTAAACATAATCTGGATCTTATTTTAAGGTTATTTTTTAAGCCAAATGTTCTCCTACTTTGTGCATCTCTTGTATGTATCTTTCTAGCTCTTCTAGGTCTGCATCATCTGCAAATCTTAAGTGATTTAAATAGGTGCCATTGAGATATATATTTGTTTTCTGAGGTTTTTGCGGGTGTTTGTATGTAGGTCTTTGGTTATTCGGGTTTTCTCCCACATCAAATTGGAAGTGTCTTGGTGACGTTTCAACAAAGTCTCATTCATCATCTACAGGCTGGTGTTTTTGGCTTCGTGCTTCTACACAGACACACACACACACACACACACACACACACACACACACACACACAGGAATATATAGGAATATATATATATATATATATATATATATATATATATATATATGCATACATATACAGTACATATACATACGCTTTCTGTTCATGTCTTTTATATCTTTAGCTTTTCATTTTTAAAGACTCTGATGCATCTTCTATGCTTGTTAAATGTCTGTATCCTACACTCCTTATGCTGGTCAATGACCTTAATAAATATTTGCTTTGTTTATATTTTAGAAGGTATACTGGCAAGGTTCAAAATAAATATAGAAAGGACAGATTTTCACTTACCTTGGAACTATTTAAATATAAAAAAAAGTTCCACTTACCTTGGAACTATTTAAATATAAGCCATCTTTTCCTGGTTTAAACCTTGAAATGTCCAAATTGGAAATAATCATCTATATTATAGATGAGAGTTGAAGTGCTACTTTAAAAAGGTTAGAAGGACAAGTACTTCCCACTTTAGAAACAAGGGCTCCTATCCTCTCGTTGTCCATTCAGTTCCTCTCCTCTTTTCCAGAGGGTTCCCCAAGTGCTCCAATATACTGAATTTGGGATGGTATAAATCCCATACATAGAAATTATTGACAGTAGCTTGCCTAGACAGGAAAAAAAAATCAGCTGCAGTGCATTTGGAGTAGATGCATTTGGAACTGCAAAAAAAGAAAAAAAGAAAGAAAAAAGAAAAAGTCAATAGAACCCTAAAACTCTTTAGTTTAGGAGAGGACTACTATGGAATTCCTCAGAATAATAAAAAAAGAAAAGAAAAGAGCAGGAACTTCATTTTGAAAAGATGAAATGGTAATTCCTGGGGATGGGGAGGAGGCAGCAAAGACGTACTATTTTACTAGTGATAAAATACAAGAATTACTCTGAGAATCTAGTTTTCTAAAGGGACATCTCCATACCTTGGAATGAGAAATAACCACTATAAATGGAAAACTGAACAACATCCTAATAGCTAAAAATGATTTATTTAATTATTCATGTGGCTAATTATCTTCTAATATACTTTGTAGCTCATCATATGTTCTGCTATAGTTAGCTATTATTAGAAGATTGAGTATATGTGTGAAACTTAAGAAACTTCCTTTGTCTAAATAAAGGATGAATGTTTAAAACAGCATAAATAAACATAATCTACTTTAATATTCTAAACTTCTATTGGTTAAAGTGGGAAAAATGTATGTATGTATCATATTTTCAGTGAAAAGTATTTAATCTTAGTTAAAACAGGTTCTTCCACAATTAAAAAAGGTATTAAAATATGAAAGACTGTTCATCTAACTAGACTAAAGCACTCCAGTTACTTCTAGTGAGTCTTTTAAAACTTTCACACAAAGATAATATTATAGCAGTAGTACAGTAGAACAAATATAGCAGCTATTCCAAGCTAACCTCCTGTTTTTCAGTGCCATGTCAGGTGCTGGTTAAATATCTAATACGCAGAATTTAATCCTGGATGAAATGATTGATCTGGCTTGGAGACATGGCTGACAGCTCTTCTGTTGGGCTACTCCAAAATATAACAGGCTCAGAATGGAAGTTGGGAAGCATAGTAGGTTATGATGTTTAAGAATTCCATTCCACAGTAGTTACCAAGAAATACATGGCTTTATCACATTAAGCTGCCTGACTCAGTTTTGTAAACTGGTCTAAGAAATCATTTTTCACATGTTAACTCCTTCCTTTAATTTGACCATTAGTTGTGCTCTTTTCTGGATTGTGCAGCTCTGTGCTCAGTCATTCATGCCTGGTCATCTGGATTACAGATACAATCTTTTATGTATCTTTCAAAGTTATCACTGAAAAAAGGAACTTATGGCCATTTTTCACACTTACAAACTTTGTCGCATCCCCATGGTTGTGTGATCAAAATTCTGACATTTAGCAATTGCTCATATTTCAGATGGTTGCAATGTCCCAGGGTTATGTGATCACCTTTTGCGAATCTGGGAAGCCAGATTCACTTAACAACCATGTTACTAACTTAACAACTACAATGATTCACTTAACAACTGTGGCAAGAAAAGTCATAAAATGGAGCAAAACTCACTTAGCAACTGCCTTGCTAAGCAACAGACATTTTGGGCTCAACTGTGATCATAAGTTATAGTGTGTACTGTGATGCACTCTACATGAGGCTGCCATGATATTCCAGAATATTTGGAAGCTTCTGCATTTTTTATGTTCCTGTCAACCTAGCAGTTTGAAAGCAAGCAAAAGTGAGTAGATAAATAGACACTGCTTTAGTGGGAAGGTTACTGTGTTCTGTACTTTCATGGGGGCCACATGATGATGGAAAAGTCTCTCAGACAATGTAGACTCTCTTGGCTAGGAATTGGAGATTTTCTACTTGAATTGGTCACAACTGAATAGGGGAAACCTTTAACAGAATATTTATTAAAGATGGGAAAAATGGAAAAAAAGATATGCAGAATAGTGAATAATATAAGGTCTCTTCCAAGAAATATGTCTTATAAAAGAACTGGAAATTATCTCTGTACAGGATGTTGCTATATGGAAGTTAGGTATATCAGAAGGCTCCTAAAAATAGTTGAATACAAAAAGAACAGGGTATTTAAGAAATATATGTGATAAAACATGAAGAAATAGGATAATGAATTATTGTATGCTGAATTGATGTGGATTCAATATAAAAAATATTCATCAGTAAGGAAGAAATACCTTAATACATGTATTTCTCCTATAGAGAGAATGAACAAGGGCAGAATTACAAAAGAAATACATGAAGGAAAAGTGAATGTATCCAAAAGGAAGACAAAGCTGATAAACTTGTGATTAGATGAAAGTGATTAGCCCCTAAGAAAATAGTGAAAAGTTAAACTTCCATATGGTAAAAAAGCAAGGATGGCTTGCAGGATAGAAAGTTCTGAAAAGGTACAATAGTTTAAACTATATGTAGCTGTGGTTCCTTTTCTTCTTCTCATTTCACACATTTCTTTTTCTTCTTCTCTTTTCTTACTATTTTTTACACCATTTTGGTGGAACTAGCACAACAGATGTGTACATGCTGATAGAAGAGTATATTTAGAGCTCAAGGTTGAACTGAGAGGTCCTTGATGCTCTCTGAGCTTGATGGTTTTCTTGCAGACATTTCGTTACCAAGCTAGTTAACATCATCAGTGCTGCTGATGTTTGGTAAAAAAAAAAAAAAAAATCTGCAAGAAAACCACTAGGCTCAGAGAACACCAAGGATCTTCAGATATGCATGTGCATAGCTTTTACCCCATCCCATGTGATTTTTTTTCTTTTCCAGGTAATTTCTGGTTATAATTTTAAAACAAATAAAAACAGCAAAATTGAGATATTTTGCTTGTATTTATTCATGAATCAGTTTATTAGCATTCTTCTTTATCAAATTCACATTTGTTTTGTTCTGGAGCTTACTTAAGGGATTGCATGAGAATTTACATAGTTGGATTTTGGATTGTGCCCAATAATTGTAATTGGAGGATGTTCATTATAAAGGAGTCAAGGTTTATTCTCCCAGTGCTTTATATCTGAGACTGTTGTAACAACCATTCAATATGTTCTATTATATATATCTAACTTGATTCCAGTGAAAATATTCATTTATGAGTGAGGAAAGGGGCTAATGGGGGAGGTGATTATTATTCATACCTCTGTGCATTCTTAATCAAAATGTAGAATTTCACAAGGAGGGGAAAACTGACAGTGGCTTCTGCAGCAGGACGCTGAACAATTATGACTGATTTATAAGGAGCCACTTAGCTACACATTTAAATATAGTCATCTACAAGATTTGGGGAACATTTTTGATAATCAAAATGTCACAGATTTAGCACATTTAATTTTTGCCATCTCCTGTGAGTTTGAACTCTGATTGTAATTACAGCTTCATCCTCTCTTCAATGACATTATTTTATCAAAGTGTGCCACTGTATCAGGAGCTAGAACTTGATAGGAGAGGATGAATTTGCTTGCCATGGCAAGCTATGAGCAAAGCAGAAAGTGAGATGAATATGCTGAAACAAATGGAGGCAGTAATCTCTCTGGTTTTTCGATCTGAATGAATTATACAGCTGGTTTATGGGAACAGTACATCTACCTTAGAGAGTGCAAGAAAAGATGGTATCTATTACATTCCAGTTGGAACACCTATGTTTCGCTAAATGTCTTCCTAATTATCCTAAGTGTAATGCCCTCTAGAAGCTTATGATGACACTGATTGGAATTATAATTATAATATATATTATACCTAGATAGATGAAACAATCTTGATAGTCCTATTTGGGGAAAGCTAGATTACATACTCAAGAGATTGAGCTAATCTGTTTTTTTACCTTGGTGAGAAAGATTTGTTTGTGTGTGATTGTGGATGTGGCTCTGTTTGGAAAATTAACAGCCATATTCAAGTCCCCTCCATACTAGTCATGCTTCTCAAACTTCTGAAATTCATGGGAAAAAATACAATTTGCTTTTAATACTGGGGAAAATATTATATTCCTAGCTTTCATCATATCTTGTAGACTAATGTTTAGCTGTTTCTTACTAAAAATCTAATATTTATACCTTACACTTATATTCACATTCCAGTATTACCAAGGCAGTTTGATTGGATATAGGATCATATTTGAGAAAAAGCTTAAAAGACCAACATTACCACAAAAGCCAGTTTGATGTAATAGTTAAGGTGCTAGAACTAGGATACTGTGAGTTCTAGTCTTGCTTTAGGAATGAAAGCTGGCTGGGTGACTTTGGGCCCGTCACTCTCTCTCTGAAACCATCTCATAGGATTGTTGTGGGGAAAATAGGATGAGGAAGAAGTGTTATGCATGTCTGCTGTCTTGAGTTATTTATAAAAAATCATTTTTATGAATTAATAAAGCCATGATAAAAATCAAATAAATAATACCTGGTTCCATTAACTTAATCTTTCTTAACATTTTTACATCATAATCCAATTTATAATTTTATTTATCATAGTTGATGACCATAAATAAATCAACAAATAAAAATGATGCATTAAAATATATGTTGATTATTACTATACATTATTACTTTAAGGGCCTCAAAAAGTCACAGAGAGTCTTCTGGGATATGAATAAAAACAGATTTTCTATGAAAGAATGGAACTTACAATTGATTGCAGTCTTACTATTTCATTGCAATCCTATATAAGTAAAGTAAATATGTAGTCTTTATATCTTTCTAAATGTCTTTATGACTCCAGTCTTTACTGACCTTTAATTTTATAAAACATTAAACTTTCAGTGTATGATGTGAAAGCTGCTATTTTTCTTTAATAAGATATGCTTTATTTCTCTTGAAAAGGAACAGTACATTTAATTGTACATTCCAGTTTGTATGAATAGGGTACAGTTTATAAAGCATAAATCCATGCAGAGTGTGGGGCCAAACTATTAATTTTGGAAGCATCCAGTCTAACACACAAATGGAGATACAATTGTCTCTCAAATATTCAATACATTTCAATGAATATGTTATTCCATTTCACAAACTATCAGCTAATGTTTCTAGACTAGATCAAATGAAAATTCAAGAGATAGGAATTGACTATTTTTTATCTTGATGAAATAAATGAATGTATGATTGTGTCAAAATCAGTAACTGGAAAATGACGCATAAAAAACTATTTTTAATACTT